CCTAGATAGGGGTGGTGGGTGACCGAATCTAAAACTTTTCCCATAAGGACATAGTTAGACTCAACAGGATTTTGCTTCCTCGATATTCTTAAGACGTGGCATTTGCTGGGGTTAAATTTCATTTGCCGTTTCTGGACCCATTCTTGGAGTGCTGTTAGATCTGACTGCGCAGTTTGGCGGCATCATTACAAGACTCAATAGTGCTGTAAATCAAAGTATCATCAGCGAAAAGACGCATCCTAGAGGTAAAATTTTCTCCAAGGTCGTTAATGTATAAGAGAAACAAGAGGGGACCTAGAACTGTCCCTTGGGGGACCCCTGATAGAACTGGCACGTCCGGGGAGTTGTACCCATTAACGACAACTGTCTGGTCTGTCTGCTCTGACTGTCCATTGTGTTAGCCAGGTGTTAAGAATACCACGTATGCCATAGTAGCGCAGTTTCATTAGGAGGCGCTGGTGCGGAAACGAATCGAAAGCTTTCGAAAAGTCCATGATTATTAAGTCAGTTTCCTCACCTTTGTCAAGGGAGCGAGCTATTTCTTCTACTGTACAAATTAACTGAGTTTCACATGACAGTTTTTTGCGAAAGCCATGTTGATAGTTTTAACTATCAACATGGCTTTCGCAAAAAACTAAAACTAGCACTTGATTTGAATCAAGGTGGGACATCATTTCGTGAAAGATGATGTGTTCCATAATTTTACAAGGCACCGACGTAAGAGAGATCGGTCGATAATTGTCCACTTGACTTCTGTTACCTTTCTTGTTTACTGGTGCAACAGTCGCTTTGAGCCAGGCCTGAGGAACCCAGCCTGTATGGAGCGATTGTGTGAACAGAAACTGTAGAAAAGGAGCTAATTCCGCAGCAGCCTCCTTTAATATGTAGCATCAGGTCCATTAGCCTTTTTGCAGTCCACCTTCTGAAAAGGTTTCGTTATCCCCGCCGTGCTAAAGTGGATCGGTGGTATGTCAGCGTACGGGCTGGTAGCTTCAGGGGGCATGTTTTGCAGGTCTTCTTTGGTGAAGACAGACTTCAAATAATTACTTAATAGTAAATTGGCTTTCTCACGACTGTCGGATACGACATCATCGTTGATCTCCAAGGGGGCAACACCAACATTGTCTTGCCTTTTTGATCTTATGTAGGTCCAAAATCGTTTGGTCATCATAGGTTTACGAGTTTCAAAGTCCATGTCATCGGTCTTTAGGAGGTCCAACAAGTACTTATAATGTGCGAGAGTCAACCTTTTCTTAGTTGCTTTGCGTAGATCTTTAAACTTCTTCCAATCAGTTTGGCTATTTGATTTGCGTGCTCTGTTATAAAGTCTCTGTTTCTTACGTATCATACGCTTGATTGAGCTATTCATCCACGGTACATTCCAGCGTAATCCCAGTTTCTTTTGAGGAAAGTGCTCTTTCATCACCTCAAGAACTGTTTCTGTAAAGAAGTTGTAGTTTTCGTCGACTGATTTATCTAGTGGGTTGTTAGTAAGATAACTATCTAGGCGTATTTTCAAATCATTTCTAGCCGATTCTTGGTCACCCTTTTTAAACAGGAAAACTTTCCTCGGTTGTTTTCTGTTAATTGACGGTTTCAGAGTAATATCCACAAGAACTGCATCGTGATCGCTCATGCCATTAACCACCTGGACATTCTGAAGAAGCTCCTAGTATTTTATGACTTTGTCACAGCTATGCATATCAGTGCCTCTTAGCACTAGTTGCACTGATTTCACGGTGAATTCAAAATTTTCGGCGAACCGCGGGTCTTACCTTCTGCTTCAGTGTTTTTCATGATTGAAGCATTGAACAAAGCGTTTCTGTGCCGACTTTTCTCGGTCAGTTGCAAACAGGATGAGAGTGATTACGAACAAAATACACCAGAATACACTTATCAACGGAATGAGACTGTTTATTCGCCGAGAATTGGACAGACTTTCTTTTTCAACAGCATCCGGAAGAGATTCAAAGCAAAATCGTATATATCTACAGCGTAATTAACGAATATTCACTCAGTCGAGATGTTCACTCCACGCCATCTTGACACAAATGATCAGATTTTGAATACCGCCCATGATGCTTAGCGATCGTAGTGCGCACACTACCGACCCAAGCCGGCACTCAAGGGAGCAAGTGGGCGTCTACGACGTTGTTCTTTCAGAATACCGTAAAATTCCGAAAATAAGCCCCGGGGCTTATATTTTTCAAAGGCCCTTTTTGAGGTGCTTATTTTTTGAGGGGCTTATATTCGGAGGGGCTTATCTACGGAAGGACATTTGCGTTTCAAAATCGATTGGGCTAGCCTTATATTTGGCAGGAAATTTACCGTTTTCGCTTTGTTTTGCCTTGTATTTGAGGGCAACTTCAAAATACAAGCCTTCGGGGGGGGGGGCTTATATTCGGAGGGGCGATTTAACGGAGGGTTTTCTGCGTTACGAGTTTGGGGGGCTTATATTTGGAGGGGCTTATGCGTGGAGGGGCTTATTTTCGGAATTTTACGGTATCTTGACAAATCCCATAATTTCACAAAATTAATTTTTTTATGACGTCACCACTTTTTTAGAACTCTATGTCAGCGCGGCAATGCCTTTCTGGTCACGTGGTTTGAGCAAAGTTTATATCCAAGATGGCGGTACATAGCGACTAAATACAGGAATGGCTCCGACCTGTAATTGGAGGATAAAAATAGTTAGTAATTAATAAGTTAAAGCTTAACTTTCAGCCACGCGTCACACTGGACAACGATATCACTATTAAACGTCGTTGTGATGTGTGACTTCTGTTTCGTCTTACGCAGTGAAAGAAGAAGTCGATGTATGAACCAACATGTATGAACTTACATCGGCAGAACCTTTTTCTGGTGTTAAACAGTACCAACAGAGATGGGAAATTGTCACAGCGTTGGCGAACAGCGTTCAGTTCGGACTCAAACACTCGGAGCTATTCCTGTATTTAAACCGCTGACGGGTCAATGTACAGGGATGGCTCCGATCTGCATAAAGAGAGACTTGTCACATGATGGTGTGTGGTGGGGGAGGCGGGGGTGGGGTCTGGGCGATCATAAAGAAAACAATCCAAAGAGCTTCACCGAAAAAAAAAATTCAAAATCAACTCAAATAAAAAAGTCGAGAAAGGAACTAGACTTGCTTGATCATTACTGATTACTGCCCGGGGGTGGGGCACTTGGGTTTTGGGTGGGTATGTGCCGCCCGGGACTCCAAATTGGCACCCCGTTCTAAAAAAAAATTCCCCTAAAATTGATACCCCGTTCTAGAAATAGGCCAATTTTTTATACCCCGTTCTAGAATTCGCCCTATAACTGAAACTCCGTTCTAGAAATGGGCCAATTTTTTATACTCCTTTCTAGAAAGTTTGTAAATTGAAATAGTCCTGTTTTTTTTTTTTAAATATATTTCTTTATTTGTTTGACTTATACATCAAATAAATGCTTCTTCATAATCAGCAACAATTTTAAGCAGAAGATAACGCCGTGATCCACAATTTTTTATACCCCGTTCTAGAAAACGCCTCTGAAATGGATGCCCCGTTCTATAAATCAGGAGCTTCAAAATCACGACCCCGTTGGGCGGCACATACCCGTGTAGGTAATGTATGGGAGTACCCCCCGGGTCTGACTGTCGCTGGTGATTAGCAATACGGCTTTTCTTGACTGAGTTAGGTTTGCTTTGAGGAGGGACCATCAGAAAAGTGCCCTGTGAGGTACTTCCTTCATATAGGAATGTGCCACCCCAAAGAAACGGGTTATTGAGCCGTTTTGGTCTGAAAACGGCTGTAGACTTTGCCCACCGGTAAAGGCAGAAGAAATGCATACAAGCCTAAAAAAAGCATGTTCAAGTGCCGAACCCCCTAGAAAATGCTTTCATTCTCATCACCCCCCATCCCTATCCTATGCACTGAGGCGGGCACCTCACTACTTAGGTTGACTTTATCAATCAATCGATAATGTCCACTAAGCTACGTGTGAGAAGTTTTAAATTTAAGCCTTATATATCATGGACGCAAGCAAGTTATTTTTAGTTTCGATAAATTGATTCGCTCAAGTTTTGTCGGATGAAAAATAACCCGGTACAAAAACTTTAAAACAGATCATTTAAAAACAACCCCGTATTGCTAATCACCAGCGACAGTCAGATAAGTAATCAGTAATGATCAAGCAAGTCTACTTCCTTTATCGACTTTTTTATTTGAGTTGATTTTGAATTTTTTTTTCGGTGAAGCTCTTTCGTTTTTTTTATTTATATCATCTGGTCATGATCGCCCAGACCCCACCCCCACCCCTCCTCCCACACCACACACCATCATGTGACAAGTCTCTCTTTATGCAGATCGGAGCCATTCCTGTACATTGACCCGTCAGCGGTTTAAATACAGGAATAGCTCCGAGTGTTTGAGTCCGAACTGAACGCTGTTCGCCAACGCTGTGACAATTTCCCATCTCTGTTGGTACTGTTTAACACTAGAAAAAGGTTCTGCCCTGCCGATGTAAGTGAAATTTTGAGGTTCATACATCGACTTCTTGCTTCTTTCACTGCGTAAGACGAAACAGAAGTCACACATCACAACGACGTTAGGGACGGACCATTAGAAAAGTTATGGGGGGGGGGAGGGGAATTTTCGAGCTGCAGGAATTTTTTTTCGTTATCAAATTCCTTGTATGAATTTTTTTCAGGCCCTTGCATGAATATTTCTTAGGGTTAATTGGCTTGCAAGAATTTTTTTTCATTTAATTTTCCCTTGCGCGAATTTTTTTTTGTACTTCGCCCGCCCCCCCCGATAAGTTTTCTAAGGGTCCGTTCCTTAGTGATATCGTTGTCCAGTGTGACGCGTGGCTGAAAGTTAAGCTTTAACTTATTAATTACTAACTATCTTTATCCTCCAATTACAGGTCGGAGCCATTCCTGTATTTAGTCGCTCGTGCGGAAGTGCCTGAAAGTCTCATCAGATTTGATTGAATTTCATAATAAGTGGAAGACAATTATGTCTACTTTAGCGGAGATTACGGGAGTAGAACGCGACGATCTAAAAAAGAAGTTCCAGCTGGAACCTCAATTCCTCTATGACCCAAATCGTAGTGACAATTTGGCATTCATGTCACCCTTGGTGCTTCTCAGGGACTCTGAGCTAAAACCGGGAGGATATCAAGATCATGGACCTAAGACAACCTTGGGGCGTATTGCAAAGAACATTTTAGAACCAGAGGGGCACATGCTTTTCCAAGTACCAGAAGTGACTTATCTACACCTGGGGTACGGGAAGAAATCCGCGAATAAAAAAGGAAAGATGGCTATAAATGAGGTAGCAGCCAAAGACTGGAAAAGTTTCCTAAATATGTCTCGCTTTACCCGTCCCATTGAGCGTACCTCTGATGAAGAGGAGACCATGGAGATCGATTTTCCAACTCCTGCAGACACCCAAGCGCTGGAAGTCGAATCAACAGACGCTGGCTGCAGCGGTGACCCTCGTATAATTCAACCTTTCGAGAGTGGATTGAAAATACCATTGAAAGGTCGGTACGTGTTATTGTTTTCGATACTTCTGATTTTTTTTGATAAGAAGAAGAAGAAGAGAGAGGAAGATTCTACTAGAAACGAAGACAAGATTGGGGCAAACAAGGTCTCTGATTTCCTTCTTTTCTGGATTATTCCACATCTACTTAATTTTAACCAAAGAAAAGTGCATGAGATAATTCAGCATCACCGGAGTAAGGAAAGTGAATTTCATAACTTTGTAGAAAAGTCTGCCTCTGACATTGTTAAAGAGTCGTTTGAATCACCAGAATTTTCTGATGATCTTCAAGATGTCATTGAAAAGAAATACAGAGACTGTTATGGGGAAAAGATGGATACAAAGTATAAGTTGTTCAAAACCGAAGATGGTAGCCCTATCATTGTTGTGCCAAAGAATTACCAAGTAAAACAAATGCCAGCTGCACTTGAAGATATTGGTAAAGACTGGCGCAAAATTGGTGATGTCACTCTTCTTGATGACTTAATGAAGAAATTCATCAAAGATCCAGAAATCCAGAGGGATTTCTTTCTTTCCTTGCGAGACCTGAAACATCGACAGGGTATTGACTATGCGATAATTCTACCAGATGAGAAAACTTTCAGTGAACTTTTAAGTAGAGTCAGAGCTGAAAGTGCTCAAATTCTTACTCAAGTAAAAGGTTGTGGAAGGAAACTCATCGCTCCAAGAATGGCACTGACCACAGAAACAAACAAACATTTGACGGTGTGTTTTTCTTACTTCCAAGGTAAGGGATTTCTCTTTGATGTACACAAGTGATAAACATACATATAGAACCATGAAAAACTTATAAAATCTGAAAGTCCCACAGATATTTAACACGCACATTTGAACGAGGCTGAGCATGATATCAAGAATTATGTAGGTCAAGGAGAGAGTTATGTTGGATAACAGCCTCTGAGATCTACTTAATTCTTCATATCATACCAAAACGTCAGCTCAATAATAAATTGTTTTATTATTCATGCAAAATGTTTTTAAGTTTTGTTTGGTTCACTCATTGCAAAACAGCAGCTAAGCTGCCGTGTTGCTGCCTGATTTTACATTGGGCAATATTGTCCATCAAATTGATTGTATATATTACCTGTGTCTTCCAAATATGGTAAGAACCACCTCCGTTGAACCAAGCCTTCAAAAGAGAAACATCAGCTGCCGATTCTAGACCTAATGCCAGAGCTGGCTCAAGCGAAGATCTTTTTAATGGTTGATCTTACCGCAGCATACTGGCACTGCATGCTTGATGACAAGTCCAGTCTCTTGTGTGGCCATGACTACCTTCGCAACCCCCTTCGGAAGATACGGGTGGACTCCCAATTGGTCTATCACATGGTTCACACAGGCCTTCAAAAGTCCTTGAAAATTGAAAAATCGTTGGTTATCCTTGAAAAGTCATTGAATTTTCCACAGAAGTCCTTGAATATTTTTGAAAGCTCCTTGAATAAAAAAATGTTCTGCTCAAAGGAGTGATTGAAAGCTCAGCAATACACAAATTTTCCTTGGTGATCATGAAAGTGATTTCAGTGTTCCTGGCATAGTTCATTTTCTGTTATTTGAAGTACCCTTTTAACTGTGCCTTAATGAAGGAAGATATCGCAAAAAAATAAGCAAACCCTCCTCCACATGCACATTTTAAAGGTCTTTACTTCATATGTTATTGGGGAAAAAAAGTCCTTGGAAAATGATTTTAGTCTTTGAAAATTATCTATCTTACTCCTCTCTAGGATAGACATTAGTAAGGGCTGGCCGGCTGGGTGCAGACAGTTATAGACACTGTGTCCATGACTGACTGCATGAAGTCAATTTGACAAATTAAAAGCCTTTATGTGGAATTTCGAGGTTACATAATATATATTATCTATCAAATTAACATACAGTTTTCTCTTTAGGTAGATTTTGCATACTGTCACATTAAATTCACAGCATCATCAGCCTTTTTATGCACAATTAGTGTTCAAAAATAAATTATAACTATAATTTTGAGGTTGGTTACACATGTCCACATTATGTATTCTTGAATTTGTGGGAAGTTGACAAGAGATTTACTGTGGATTTGTAATCATATGTAGTGAGGTCAGTTCTTTATTGTACAACGTCTTGCTTTCCAAGCATTCCCAAATTCCTTTCTGTGAGACCTATACACTCACTCGCGTTGTTGATGTTGTTTCAGTAACGATTTTATTTTTGTTTAAACGAATGGAATATTAGAAGATATTGTTTTTTATTAACCCATTCACCCCTGAACCACCAGTGCGGAAACAACTTTATACCCTTGTACTGCTTGTGATGTAATCAGAATGATACAGTCAAGTCAGAAGCAAAAAAAATGAGGGGGGAGAAGGGAATTCAAAGTAAAAGGTAAAAGATGAGACTAGAAACTAGAAATTTCTACAAATGCCCAAACTTCGAAAGCTGATATTTTGCATCTGGAACAGAAGCCTGCTTTATAAAACAAAGTAAGTTTCAGCAGTTTTGGTGGTTAATGGCTTGAGTTTGACCAGAAAGTGGCTCGACTAGCAATTTACGGCAAACTTCCCAGGAGCATGTATATGGGTTAAGGAGGGGGACATTGGGGGTTCCCAATACTGCAATACCGTTAAAATATTGGCACATACCAAAATACCGTGTCAAAAATTGACAAAATACCGATACTGATTTATGATTGGTCACATTTACTTAAAGCTGTATCCATTTCATGTGTTTGTTTACCTCAAGCATGTATGTACCAGAAATCAACCTCAGACATTGCGAGAAAACAAGAGAAGACCTTGGTCAAAAAGCCCGGTCATTGGATGCCCTTCCAATTTCGTCATAGATTTTTTAATCATTTACCATTATTAAAGTATATAGTCTTAAAAATTATATTAACTTTTATTAACCTGTTTTCCTAACTGTTGGTCAGTATTTGCACATTGTATTGACCTGTATTAGACAGCAGGTGAATGCAAATAAATGGTACCGCAAAAATAACCATGGAGGATCTTCTTTTACCGAATACCGTTAACCAAAAGGATGAAAAACGGTATACCATAGGGCTAGAAGATACTGCAATACCCCACATTAAAATCAAAATTACCGAAAACCACTTGCAAAAAAAAAGCTCAATGCGACAATACCGTAAATATAAACCCCCATGTCCCCCTCATAAAGAACAGTCAGATGCAGTGTAAGGAAACCTATCATACAGTAGAAGCCACCATTCATTACCAGTAGCAATAGTTCTCACTACATCAGCCCCTGCGCCTTAGACGTTTGTTTTGAAATGTTTAGTCTTCTAATGTTCAATACATTATCTCTTTATTTCTATGCTCTTATAGGTACTTGTGACATTTGACAATAGTGATTAGGGCTAAGCACTAACTCTAAATGATTAGCTTTCATTTACTGTGAGGTTTGTCACTATAAGTATGTAAAATGAAAACATAACTTGCAGACGAATTGACTGTGCATGGTGTAGTGGTATAAGAGGGTTTCGGTTTCTAGGACCCTGGGTTTGAATTCTGAAAATGCCACGTTCAATCTCATTTTTCATAAAATAATTGAAGGACTTAGAAATTTCATGTAAGTGTGCACCTTATAAGAAGGGAAGGTGGTTCTGGAGGATGGAGTCTATGTAATGCTGACCGGTCAATAACATGTTTCCAGAATTTCCCAAGACCGCCTTGCGCACATGCTGAAAGATTAGCAAGGACCACCTTGCGTGCCTACTTTATTCAAATCAAGAAGATTTCGCATTATTACCAATACAACAAAATAAAAACGATACTTCTATCTAGCTATGTGGGGTAATTTAGGGTGCCTCCGCCCTCAGGTCTGCGGGGGCAAAAATGGTGAACTGACGATTATGTCCTTAGCCTGTGAGCAAGCTCTCACTGTACAGCTAAAACGGTGTAGCCATGAATGCCTAATTTATTCTAACTAATATTTGCCTTTCCAGGAAGTGGTGCTGATGTGGTGGCTGCCTTGTTTAGAGCTATCGGAGCACATTATTTGGATCATTTTACCCTTGCCATATTGCATGGACTGTGTTTGAAGTTTGGTGATCCAGAGTGGGAGTTGAAAGTGGGAAGCCTGTACCCTGTCAAAAGTGCAAGAAAAATCAAATTCACACAGTATTCCTTGAATATAAAGCAGATGAAGGAGATGAAACCACTTGACTTCTCTGAGGCCCAAGGCAGATTTTGTGGAACTGAATTTCCTGAAACATATGAATCATTTGAACAAGCAATACGTGAGGACCTCCTCAATATAGGGGACATCATTTCAAAGGCCAACAAGACCCAAGAGGGTGTGTCAATTGCAAGTGCTCCAAAGTTTGAGACAGGTGAAGAGTTTACCGTTGGCTATTCCATTGCTTGCCAAGAGGGAAGGCTAAGGGGCATTCCCTCCGAAGTTGACAAGAGGTTGAAGAAATTTAAAATAAAAGCTGTGAATTTGAATGGGTGCCTGTTGTCAAGCCTTGCCAAATGTGGCCGAAAAAGCAACATTAGTGTTGTTTTAGCGATAAATGATCATTGTAAAAAGGATGGCTGTTTGGTCCCAGTACGTCTTAAAGATGCCATAAGGAGAATCATAATCTATTTTGTCCAAGCTGTCATAGTTGCTGGTCTTCCAGAAGGTGAGTCTCTTGGTTTTTGAGGTAAATTTATCTGGCCTCGGTTACTCAAAGGCTGGATAGCGCTATCCAATGGATAAATCTCTTTCCAGTGGATGGTGAAATTAGTTTCCCCAATACTTATTTGCTGGATCGTGATTTATCCAGTGTATAGCGTAATCCAACGTTTGAACATACCTCAGGGCCTGTTCTATAGTAAACTATATAAACAGCACAATACAAATTACAGCTGATTGGCTGAAGCTACAATGACTAACCCTAAACTATGTGGTAGGTTTAAGCGTAAGAACAAATTTTATACATACAACAATGTATTATGTCATGACTTACAGTGAATTATTATATAACAGATTCATGGTAAAAATTAAGAGCAAATTTTAGTCTGTTTATCAGTAGAACTAGTACAGTTTGCCTTTTAGAAGATACATGTAAATCAGCATTTTTTGAGAATTAAGCTGAGACCTCAGTCATTCAGTTAATGTTGCTCTGATCTTTGTAAAATTGGTTTTTACTTTACATTCATACCAAGGGTGAAAGCAGCAGACATGCCAAGTGTCACGACTTTTGAGTCTCACAATTTCACAGCCTATATCACGCTCTCATGATTTGTCAACTGATTTCCCACTCTGTCTCGAAAAGACAAACTCCCAAAAAATTTTAATTTTATAATTATTTTTTGTAGGGTTTGTTTCCAAGGTTAGATATCAATATACCGATAAATATAGATAGTGAGCTCAATCCAAAGAAAACACTTAGCGGTTGCATTTGATTACATAATTTCTGCCAAGATGGCCACTAACAAAACAACGGGCAAAACGTAGAAATTACAAAACCCCTGAATCGTAAAAAAATGATGTTCACTGCTCCAGTGTTAAAGTGATAGAGTAGCTTCCAATACCCATAATATCCTCACTGGAAGTCCTTTCACTAGGAAATTTGGGACATCTCATGACTTTTTATCCATTAATAATTATTGTTATGCACCTATCAATGTAAACCCGTGGGGGAGTGCAGGCAAGGGGGGGGGATTTGACAAATTTTAAAATTTTTTGGTGAAATTCCCCAGGGTGGGAAAAAAAAGGTCAATCAAAAGTGTCAAAAAAGCACCCACCCACTAGCATCTCTTATTTTGAACAACATAATCACTCTAGGAAGATTGACCGTGCTATTATATTAATGAAACGTAAAATGCTTTATAACATCGGCTCAACATGTCGGAATAGGTCGGATCAGTGGCCTGCAAAAAATCCTCTGACTTTCATGGTAGAATTCGATTTCAATCGAGGTTTACAATCAGATGGGAACTTGAAGATAAAAACTTTCTCAAAATAGACATTATCTGTTTAGATGACAGTGTAAAGTATCGGATTATGGCGATTAAAAGAAATGAAAACTTCATAACTTTCTCCAACAGCGTGACTTTCAGAAAGCCTCGAGGGACGGACTTGTTTACCGCTTCTGAATTGATACCAGGCTTCTATCGGTCAAAGTCAAATGTCCTGACCCCGGGGTCGCTTCGCACGATCAAAAGCCCGACAGGGGGATAGTCTTAGTCATCAAATCCCCTCCCCTTGCCCGCCTCCCCCCTGCCACGGGATTTACATTGATAGTTGCATTACTGCTTTTCCTGGTTCTAGGTTCAGAATCTCGCATTTTTTGCCTTTTGGGGGTTGGCAAGTCTTAAGCAGGGTTTAAATAACACATCTAGCAAGGAAAGGGCCAAGAGCATGTGATGAAATTGCATTGTATTCATTTCATTCGTTCATTTACAATGTACGGTAATAATTACCGTACAACAATTATTGTTGTGTTCAATTTTATTGCACGTGGTCAAATCCTTCCATTATGGCTGCACTGTATACAGTTCATGATTGATTTACTTGCAGGGCTCAGTGGTCCCCAGCACCTAACTTTTGCTCTAGGGCAACTAGAAAATCTTAGTTCTTTCATACAAATCATAATTATGCTGGGCTCCCTTCAGGCTGTTATTTAAATGCCCCGCAGTGGGTTCCTTGTCACTAGGTTTTCAAACCCATGTTAGAATTATTTTACGTGTGGCAAACTAATAAGCTTACCAGCTCAATAGGAACCATGATCAAAGAGTTGACACTTCTACAATAATACATATTTTTATAATTTACATTCAAAGGACTTCTTACAAATCGTAATTGAAAATTTGAGGATACACGGATGGAAAAAATCAAAATATCATTTCACTGTAAATTATGTTACTTACTGTTTTCATCTTTGGATATTGCGACTGAGGAGTTGATATACACCAAAGCTTCGGACTTCTTACAAATGTAAACTTGCATTTCTCATCAGCTCCCTCGTAAGGGTACTCACTTTCTGCCTCAAGACCACCTCAATTATAATGAACAGTGGTTACATTTATTAGAGCAGTTAACACTACCTGTGAAATGATAATTATTAATTAGTTTTTGTCTTCACGAAATAAGGATATTTTTAAGTCTACAAAAGCCAAAATGTTATAACGCATTCTTTCTAGATAGAAGTAGAAAATAAGTTTTAGTTCCAAGGTGCATCATGCTAAAGAAACCGGATAAGCTCCAGTGTAAGAAACCCTTGTAGAGCACCTATACCCAGCAGTTGCTGGCAGTCAATTTCCATTTGAAAGTCAGTATGTATTCATACAGTTCATAGAATTACCAAGTTTCACGATTTGCTTGTAAGCAGTGGAAGGAAGTCCACCATTACAGCCTTGGTCAACTTTATCACAGTCAACAAGCTCTGAAAAAAAGTAAAGACTGACGGTTAACCTAAAGTATGAAAAAGCGAAGGAATATAAACAGCGTGCAAAGAAAGTAGTGTCCCGTAGCCGGGGGCTAGTGGATTTTGCTATCAGGCTAGTGAATTCTGTTTTTAATTTGCCCAACAGGCAAGTAATGTGGATTAGTCCAAAAGAATGCTGGCTTTTTCATACGTGCCACGCATGCATAGTAGCAACCTGGAGGAAATCAGCTAGTGTGGTCGCCCCCAAGTAGTTTTCATTTAAAATAAAGTTAATTCCTTTTACTGATTTAGATGTTTACTTGAACATGTGAGACCAACTTCTGTATCATCTTGTATGGGTGGACCAGATTTCATTTTAAACGGGGTTGTGGCTTGAAACCATAAGAACCCTCAGCAACACCACCATCAGCTCTCCTAGCTGTGACCATGTTGGTGATCATCATAGGCAAGAAGGAAAAAAACTGGTCATGTGTCAAGCCCTATTACTTCATAACTAATTATTAGAAGTGTTTATCAGGGTCCTTCTAAAGCTAAAGTGAGATAGATGTTGTGGGTCAAAGTGAAGTTCGGGTTCAAATGGTTTTCACCTACATGTAATTTGCTTCTCAATTCTTACCCTTCTTTGTCTTCTGGTATGAAAAATAGGTAGGGCGTAGCTGCCAGTATGCAAGTTCTTACCTGGAAAACAAAATAGCTATTAAAGGGACATGCATGACTCACAATAAGGGATTTTAGTAGTTCTCGTTTGATGCAGTGCTTTTTAATAATCATAATTAATGCACTCAGAACGGTTTTTCAAATGCATCGCAATTATTCATGGAGAACAAAAACAGTGGATCACAGGGTCAAGAAAATATGCATGCCCCCCTTCTGATGTAGTATATTATTTAAGTTAATTATAAGCTTGAATTGCTGCTCAAGGTTAAAATCAAAAGAATTCTTTTGAGTGCAGGTTAAGCGGTTAAAGATTGAATTGAGTGATAACTTAGAATAAAGGTTGAGGTGTGTTTTAGTCATTTAATTCTGCTACGGGGAGCAAGGGACAGCGCAGTGGTGAGAGCACTTGCCTTCCACCAATAGGACCCAGGTTCAAATCCCGGCATTAACATTGTTGCTTCTCTCCTTTGCTCTGAGAGGTTTTTCTTTAGGTACTCCGCTTTTCCCCTCTACTCAAAAACCAACTTTTCCAAAATTATTCCAATTCAACCAGGAATCAGGTAGACAAAGAGCCACTTTGTGGATGTGCTAGCTCCAAATCATTATCTATTTATTTAATTGACTAAGGGCCGGAGCTCAGAGGCTTTTAACATGCTACGTAGCAATTGTTAAAAGCCTCTGAGTACTTTATCCCTGATGGTCGGGGATTAAGCAATGTTTTTATGAGCAGGTAAATGTTATATTCCTCAATATGGCCCAGGGGTCAAGGTGCTTAGGATTCATTTCATTTTGACAGATGCACAAATTTATGTAACATACGTCCTGAACTGAATGTTTATTCTTTTTTCCTCATTATTCAGTTTATCCAGCTGAACCTGATGAGGAAGATAGGGGAGATATTGAATGCTCCACATCTGAGGATGATGATGATGATGGGGAACAGATGCAAGTTGAAGATGAAGCGGCTTCAGCTTCTGCCACAGTTGCCAGCAGACCGGCAGCCACTTCATCTTGTGCAACTGAAAGGCCTTCCATGTTACAAGGTATTTCCTGATAATTGAATTTTTTAAGTTTTAATTTTACACCTTGGTGTATTAAGGAATTTCTTTAAGCAGCCTTCAAAGGTGACGTTTCAATGAAATCTGATAGGTGCATGACTACATTTCCTATCAGAGAGCTTAAGGTTTTAATGCCAGGCTGTGAGAGAATGGTTTCTTCTCCAGTGTCTTCCATAAGCATGCTTTCCCAGAAAAGAAAGAAAACAAGCTAGACTCGCCGAAAGGCCAATTAACTGGGCTGCGGTGGCGGTTATTTCTGAGGGGAAGCACAGACTACAACAAAACCTTGTCGCCGGACATTGCGTGACATAGAATCCTAGGAAATCTGTGACCGTAAATCTGCTATTTTATTTTAAAAAAGCAAATCTGTAGATAACCATATCGAGAGTGATTATTTGTCGGAAACCCTTACGCGACAACCGAGACTATACAGAATTATATATTGTACCGCATGAAAACGATAAGTTAACCAGAACAGACAGCGGACAGCCTTTAAGAGAAAACAACCCACAATAATACCCATCAAGATACTCGGGATAGAGATGATCAGTAGATGATAATCTATTGTTCATGGTCGACACGAAACATTCTGAAGAAAAAGCATTGTGCCACAAGATAAAAAGATTTTGATTTTTTTGAATTCAGTATTTAAACATAGTTAATTATCCTCTCCCCTTAAACCCTCGCCCACGCTTGAAATAGCCAGCTAGTTCACCTTCTACTATTTCGGATACTTAACCATGTTCCATTTTAATTATTCATTTCATTATCCCTGAAACGCCCCACATGGGGTAACCTCCCACGCAGACGTTCTTGGGCTTCGTCACTTATGCCCTTGTTTACCCTCCTACGCAGACGTTCCTTTGGCTCGTCACATGTGACGAAGCCCTAAGAACGTCTGCGTTGAAGGCTACCCCATGTAGGGCTTTTCAGGGATAATGAAATGAATACTTCAAATGGAACATGGTTAAGTATCCGAAAAAGTAGAAGGTGAACCAGCTGGCTATTTCAAGCGTGACCGAGGATTTGAGAATCGGACTACCTACCGAGCTAGTGCAAATCTAGCAAGTGGTCAGGATGGGACAAGAGCACTAACCCTGCGCTGGGTGACGCTGTCTCTTACTAATGCCTCCTATGTAATCACTGGATCATTATACGTTTCTGGGAAACTGCCCACCTACCCCCCCCCCAGCCAACATTTGTCCCTAAGTGAGAAGTAAGTGTTAATGTTGGCAAAGAAGAGGTTAGGTGGGCAGTTTCCCAGAGAAACGTATGATGATCCATGATTTCTTTGCAGTAAAACAAGGTACACCCTCCAATGAAGAACTAGAGATGTTGTCAGTGGATATTGCTCAGGGTTGGAAGGCACTTGGGCGACGGCTAGAAATCGATGACGCACGCTTGACGGGTTTTCACAAAGAGAATGAAGAGTACAGTGAAAAGCCATATAAAATGCTGTTGTACTGGAAGAACAAAAAAGGTACTGATGCAACCTACAAAATATTGTATGACGCTTTGTGCCATGAACTTGTTAACAGAAAAGACTTGGCGGAGAAACTTTGTTGTGAGTCAACTTTGAATTAATATTTTGTGTAGAGTTACAGACTGGGTTTAGTAAAAAGTAGGGCTATACAGAGTAGGTATTACATGTAGTAATAATCGAAAATGAGTAGTTTTTACCAGTGGGATATTTTTATATAAGTATATATGAGTATTTAACCCCATCGGTTACTGAAATAAGCACATTTTGAAGTTATGAGTAGATGTTAGCATCATGGAAGGCATAGTCGCAAGATTAGAATGTTGGCCTGTTATCTTAGCTTTCCCTGCTCTTTAGCTAGTTTTCGTTTGTCTCTCATTTCCGTAACTTTATTTTCCGTACCAGTTTAGTGGTAGCTCGCTAAACTGGTTACCAGAGGCATTTCCAGCTAGTTCCAACGCCTGCTATACTCGCCGCTTTCACACCGGCTCTAGCAAAATGTTACTACAGTAACAGCGAAACACTTGTAGTTTTAAAACAAGAACGTTATAGAAAACTAGTTTAAAATGAGCTACTTTTAATGTGCGTATGTAATTTGTTATTATTAGGTCTTCACTTGCTTTTTGCAACTAGTTTAACTAACTTTAAAATATATTTATAGCTAAAGTTTTAAAATAGCAAACTATAATTTTAAACGCAGAAGTATTTCAAAATACCGGTTCGTTGAGAGATCGTACAGGTCAGTTAACAAGTTAGTGTGCTTCACTTAAGTTAGAAAGGAAATGGAATAATTATCGTCATCATTATGATAGTGTCATTTTCTTAGTTTTACAAGAATCCATGGTCGTGCAAGTCCTCTATAAATTCATTTCTTCTTTAAACATAGCCAAACTTTGTTCTTTACTAGGTGTTGGCAGTTTCAACAGCTGTCAGTTATCTTTCTTTGATACACTGTCATCATCAGCAAAAACAAATTTTGGCTTCCTTTTTCAAGAATTAATGTATTGATTTGTTACCATTTCGAGCCTGATTCAAGACTATACCAACAATGATTTTACTGTAAAAATAGTTGAACTAGTCTTGAACCTTTTTTATCAAATGGCATATATTACCATCTTGTTATGTAAACGACAGGCCGTGAATAGTTCGTGCCTCATGATTGTCAGTTTGTTGTTCTGCACAGTCAATCAACACCACTGCCTAAAGAAGATCAGCAATAACAGATGCTCAAGTCAATAACAACATAATTTTAGTTAGACAAACGGTGAACAAGCCTGTTGTACATTTCACATTTTTAAATTAAGGTGGTCTCATTATCTTAATAAATACAAATTAAAATTTGTATTTATTAGTGACAGATATCATCCAGGTTCTTATTATATCTTTTAACGAGTAGTCTAATATTTTTTCACCATGTATTTGATATTTTTGTAAGTAAATTTTAATATTTATAGTGGTTTAGTGAAAACTGAAATTGCTAGTCTAACTAGTTCGGTACCATTTTGTTGATATTTTTAAGCAACAAACGTTTCCATTTAAGAGAGGTAGTTAAGAATCCATTATATTATAAATACGATAGGCTACAGTCGGTTAAAATTTAGCTCGCCCCATGCAAGGGAATCCGGGAAATTTTTGCTTGTAGAATCTGAAATCATGAGCTTTGGAATCCGGAATACAGCTCAAGGAATCCGGAATCCAAGTTCTACAGCCCAACGGGGGAAGACTGGAATCTGTCTTGGATCCCCTTACATGGGGCGATTTAGCGCACTGAGACTTCTCATCGTTTCCTGTGGATATAATGTCATTAATAATAATTTGAATAATCAAAAATAATTATTTAATTTAAAAATTTATAAGCGCAAGTTTCTATGTAGATATAATCAAATGCACAATAGATAAAAGCAGATGATAACTGCCTCAAGAAAAAAATGGTTATTTTTAGATATATTTTTATAAATGTTAATAATATTATTTATAAGTAAGTTAAGTAGGTCTTGTCTAAATGGTTTTGAACCATGTATATATAATGATAGTGTAGTTACCCGGCGTTCGAGTCATGCACTTAAAAGCGGCCATCCCGTGGGGTAACCCCGGGGACATACGCGGGCATGGCGCGGGATTTGTCAACTTTGTTCGATAATTTTAAGCCCGGGATGGGGGATTGGATTGCTTTTGCACTTGGATTGCTTTTGAGGAAAATGTCATAGGGACTGAAACAAGTCATGGGATTTTTGAAGTTCTATTATTTTGCGATCGGGCGAGGGCCTATAAACCTCCTTCAATAAAAATAGTCGTTGTAACTGTTCTGGTGAAAGAAAGGACAACGAAGCTCTCCGGGGTGTTTACTTTATTTTGAGAAGACGCGAAAAAACAAAACCCTCGTCAAAAATCTCTTCGTAGGCGTCCTCGTCTTCGAATTTATGGTAGTTTCGTGACTAGTCTGACTAGTTATGCAATCATTACATTTTGTTATGATTACTGTAAGTTTGTACTTTTCAATTAACAAACTATCATTCTAGATTTATTATTACTGAGAGTTGATGATGCGTCAATAGGATTTTAACAACTTTTGTAAATAGTGAAATCCGTGTCAGTAGACCATGTATCGATACTGAATAAAAAGTATTGTAAAGCTATCAAGGGACGAGCTGAGGCACTAGTTAAAGAAAACTTGTAAGCTACCTGCGATAGCTTTTTCTAGATGAGGTTCAGATAGCGGGGACGGGGTAACCTACAAGCCATCCAGAGGTCGCCAACAGAATTTACTCATATGTAAGGACGGTAAGGTGCCCTGCCGATCGGTGATGTCACATACATAAGTTAAGCCAGTCAAACCTATAGAATCGAACCGTATGCAATGATCCAGTTGTTTATTCGTATTGGAACTTTTTTGATAGCTCCATACCCAATGTGTTTGAAACGCTTTGTTTGAAACGGTTGCTATGAAGGTTAACTTCACCCATCAACCGCAAAAGCGTGGGCTAAACTGCTTTAGCTAAGGGAATGCTAGTTAACCACTATTACAATCAGTGAGCGGGCCAAAAAAATTAAGCCGCGGGCCTGCCAGTCTGAAGGCTGTTCCCCTCCCCCTGAATCTCATTTATATGATGAAGGAGTGATATTGATTATCAACTTTAACTTTAACTTTAATCAAGTTCCAGAGTACAGAATCAGTAAAATACTAAATACTAATAATCTTAGCCTGCGAAAACATCCGTTTCTCCTCGCTCTTGGCCGCTGGGGGCGTTTCGCACGGAAACGTCCCCAGCGGCGAACAGCGAGGAGAAACGGATGTTTTCGCAGGGTATAATAATCTGAGGTAGTCCTCCTTGACATGATAGAACGCGACTTCATAAGAACACTGGACTGACTCTGTCTATATATTAAAAGTCTAGTATCCGTCTTCATATACAGTCTATTTAAGACATACATACATACATACTTTATTGGCTCGTCCCCACGGGGCTTTTCAGAGTCAATTTTACATTACAAAATTATAAACCAAGTACATGACAATAAGAATATAACAATGAAAAAAGAAGACAAAGGTCAATAAAATTAATTAAATTAATTAAATAAAGCAGTCATTAAGAAGCTTTTGCCTGAGTAAACACTTGAATTCCGTCACGGATGGGCTAAGTTTGAGCGCAGGCTGCAACTCATTCCAGAGAGAGGTTGCTCTATATTGAAAGGTCCTTTGGCCGCTGGCAGTGCGGAAGAGTGGTATGTTCAAAAGTTGAGAATTTCTCGTATTCCTTGTCGAGACGGCGGATCTTCCAACGAGCTTTGATGTCAAATACTCCGGAGCACAACTCGTCATGCACTTAAAAACCAGAACAGCAAAACGAAAATAAAGTTGTTGCCTGATTGGTAGCCAGCGCAAGTCTTTTAGCAAAGGAGTTATGTGATCGAATTTTTTAGCGCCGCTCAAAATACGACAAGCGAAATTCTGTACTGCTTGGAGCCTGTCCAGATTAGTTTGAGTAGTATTGCTCCAAACAGAAGAGCAATAGAATAATTTACTAAATACTAAGGCATTTATAATAATAATTAGCGCGTGTTTATTAAAAATATGCTTAACGCGGTTAATTTGGCCCAAACGTGACATGCATGTTGTCTTCTTAGAATATTAAACAAGGCTGAAGGAATATTTCTTCTATTCTCTTGCAAAAAACCCCTCGAGAACGCACCTTCAAATACAGACTTTAGTTTTCATAGGTTACTCCTCTCCAACCACTCTTCGACAAATTCCTGCCTGGGACAGGATCGCTTTAAACAATCCCCCACTCCCGGGCCCGAAAAGCTGGGCTTGTCCCGGGGGTTGCCCCGGGGGAAATGGTAACAGGTCAAATTGAACCAAACATAACCGCCCTGGGAGGATCAACGTCTTTTGGGCCGCTTTTTACGTTATCCATTTTGACGATCGTATGTTAACAATTTTGACTCCGGCAACTTGCGTAAATGGGAAGAGGTCTATCAAACTAAGGCTCGGTCAAACAGACAAAAGAAAAACGGAAAAGCAAAAAAAACTTGGCCAGAAAATTCGCGACTTCACTTTTAAAATGGCCTTTTCGTAGCCGTCGCCGTCGTTGTTGCTTAAGCCGCTCAATCAGAGGTTTAATAAATTAGCATACTCGTTAGTAGAAACATTACTGTTTTTTTAAAAAAACGCGTAGCGGGAGAAGCATTACTGCCACAATCAGTCGTCACCCTCTTTCTTGGACTGTCTTTTTCTTCGTCAGATTCTTGAATTAGTCAGTGACAGGAGCCGAGTAATCGGCTCCTGTCAGTGACAGTTAGTCCGTAAACCAAGGTCGCAGATGTCTCTAATGATTTTGTTACCTCTGCGCCCTGCCTCACTAACGCATAAAAATCCCTTAAGGACACGAATCCAAGCGAGACTTGGATTGGGATTGAAGACCATGGATTGCGGATTCCAGGTACAGGATTCCGGATTCTTTTTCAGTGAAACTTGGATTCCGGATCCCAATCGTTAGTGGGATTCCGGATTCCAAAACCAGGATTCCAGATTTCACCGCCAAAAATTTCCTAGATTACGGAATCCGGATTTCCTTACATGCCGAGGGTTTTACTTTAAAGAAGCATCTTATACCCATAAAACTTACGCTAGCCTTTTGTCCTACTACCTTAGCACTTTTTCTAGTCTGATTCTTTAGAGAACCTTGAGATGTTATAGTTTATAACTGCTTGACCTTGAAGATATCCTTATAAGGAAATAGAAAAGAAAATAATCTGTTATCAAAAGCGTAATAATAGTAAATCAAAATGTGGGGCAAGATGAAAAAAATTCACTGATTTAGAAGTCGTACAGAGAGGATAAGTAAAGCGGAGCAAGCGTACTTCTGATGTTACGTATTGAATGTTTTGGAGATTACTAATAACTTACTTAATTTAGAGGCTCTGATAGGGACCTGGGTTGTAATTTGGCATCATAGGTTGGACATTTATTACCTGGCTTGAACAGAAGAGTCTCCCTTGTTGGATTTTATTCGACTGACCCGATAGCAGGATACTGTGGCTCAAATAATAGTGACGATGATGATGACAATGATGGTGATAATGATGATCATGATAATGACGATGATGATGGTGATGATGATGAGGGTTGCTCAGCACGAAAGTATAAAATATCAGCAAGCTCACAGCAACATACGGTTGAGTGGTGCCGCAACTCCCAGTAGTAGGCCTGGAGCAGTACAATAATAACTTGTAGAAAATCATAAAACGGCAATCTGATCCTTACGGCAAGGCGATGAAGAAGTAAATAAAAGAATAAAGCAAAAAAGTATATATAGGGCAAATTTGTTAAAAATATATATATTTTTGGTTTATTCTTTTGTTTAATTCTTCATCGACTATTAGATCGACTAAAAAAGATTGTGCGTGAAGGGCCAAACGGCCAGATTCTGGTGGATCTACTCAACAAAAAGAGAGAAAAAAGGAAGGATGACTGTACATCTGTAGTTTTCTTTTTCGGTATTTAGTTTAACAGTATTCTGTTATGTGTTTTGATTGAGCTGTGCGCCACACCTTCAATTTCAGCCATGGCCATGAGTCTCTCTTCGACTTGGGGAGGCGAGACGGCTGAAATTGGTTAATTTTGGTGTAGCGCGCAGCGTAGAAACAACTGTAAACGAACTAGCGCAGAAAGCAAGTGCGATGCGCGCGAGATGTCCTTGACGGAAGTGTTTCTAACTTGAGAACGAGGGCGAAAAACCGATAAAATCCGGAAACCGGAAAGTCATGTGACGCAGTGGCTGCTGGCACAAACAGGACCGAAGCAAACATGGCGTTGTCTTTATTTTTCTTCGCATTAATGTTGGTTCCTTGCTTCCTCAGATCTGATGCTTTGGTGGGGGGAATAGAGGAACGGAAGACTGATGATCCTGAAGTTCTAGATGCGCTGGATTTTGCCATGAATGAATTCAACGCTATGCAAAACAACATGTATCGATTAATGGCGACCAAAGTGGAAGACGCAACCTTTCAAGTAAGCCTGTAAATTGAGGATTTTTTTGCAACCTTCTCTGGTTTGAATTATGCGTTAACCCTAGTTAAGGTTTTTGTAAACTGCTGCCCTAACTTTGATCGAAGTGCAAGTCAAAGCTAATGTTTCTTACAGTGTATATCCTCTGGTTTGTAATGAAACCGAAATGAAACAATACTCCTTTAGGTGGGCATGAACCGGAAAATCCATGCATGTATGTTATGTATGTTATGTCTACTAGAAATACGTTATCCCAAAAATCTCGCGAAGCTAAAAGGGGCAGCAGTGAGAATAACCGGAAACAAGCCAGAGGGAAAAAATACGATGAAAGAAAGAAACATAGACAAAAACCAAAAAAAAAAAAAAAAAAAAAATTCAATCCTTGACCTTTGTTTTAATTCATGCAAAAAGTAAAACACGATTTTCACTTGGCAAACCGAGACATTTGAAGGGAAACAAAGGAAACTGAGAATCGATTATTAGGTTGAAACAATTTTTAACTGAATTTCATTTTGACCTGCAAAGTGACCCGTGATCTTGACCCCTACAAATCAAACCATTTACTTGGGTTCAAACTAGAAAAGAAATGGAAAGGAACAACAGTCCATTTCCTGTTATTTGTGTCCCAACAGAAACCTGACAGAGAGTGCTGCAGTATTTCACCAAATTAGCTTACAATGTACAGTGTACAATGTACGTGATCAGTGTTCTGCAGATTAATCACGTAGATTCATTGTCAGAGAGAACAATAGATCGTTTTCCCTGTCACGCAACAAAAAATTAAATTGGAAACCGTCCAGTGGAAGAAGCCAAGAAAATGACATGCTGTAAAAGACTAATATTATTATATAAACAATTTATCCAAGTCTCAGGTCTTTGTGGCCCACAGTTTCTGAGTTATTTGCCGAAACGTTTCACGCGCCTTTGTTGAGCTTTGTATGGGGACGCCATATTGGTGCACCAATATGGCCGCCGGAAATCAACAAAAATATCTGGAGTTCACTTTTTCTATAAAAGCTCTTTCTTTTCACTCGAGAACTAGCATACGTACGCATAGACATATCTTCTAATACTTGAAGTGGTTATACTGCTGAAAATCAAGAGGAGAGACTTTTTTCAATGAGACAGCATTCCTATTTTGGTGTCATGCACTGTGAAAACTCTGAAGTTCAAATTGCTGTATTTTCGAAATGAAACATGCTACATAAATGGAAACATGTACAAAGATATACTTTTTGTTTATCTTCAACCTGGTGTAAATACGAATTCGTAAAACCTTGCTATTTTGACTTTACAATTTGATAACGTCACAGTGAAAACCATCTATAAATGTGGATCAAAAGGCCCTAAAAATCAGGCATCAGTTTCCTTCATACATGTTTAAATGGTTTAATGTTGAGGGTAGCCCTGCTATGGACTGGCTTTATGTCCAGGGGCTAATTGAAAAATTCCTAGTTGCTTCATGCTGTAGAACCAGGTTAAGTTCCACCGTGCAGATGAGCCACTTGGCTTAAATGAATAATTAGCATTTACAAACTTAAATATTGTAGACCTGAGTAGTCAATATATTTCTGAGCCCTGTAACATATACACACATAAATGTTCATGTAGTAATGGTCCACATTGTCGTACATATACATCATATGATTATTATAATATTCCTACCAGAAACTCACTGGCTCCAAAACAATGGGGTCTTTTGTTTTGGTGGAATGACATTATAGAAATGGAATATTGATCCCATAAAAGGGGCAGTTTCTGTAGGAAAAGATAAGCTGAAGTTTAACAGTTATTGAGGTTGAAAGGAAACTTGTGTCTGAGTCATGCTTTGAATGTGATAATTTTGTTTTCCTCATTTGTTAGTATGATGCAACTTTCCCTCTTTTAGAACATTTGCAAGAAGAAAATTAAAGTAAGCAGTGAGGTACACTGTAGAACACCAGGTTAGAACTCAGATTTGGAATTTTTATTAAATCATTTGTGTTTCTTTATCATTTAGTTAGTTGCTGGACAGAAGTTCTGTGTTGTTAGTGAGATTGGTGTTTCCCGCAGCTGTCGCAATGATGATTCTCACAAGTCAGCTTCATTAGATAAATGTCCTGTTGATACTCTTGAGGTATTGTACTTGTTTTTATTATTATACCGTAAAATTCAGAAAACAAGCCCCTGGGCTTATATTTTTCAAAGGCCCCTTTTGAGGGGCTTATTTTTGGAGGGGCTTATATTCGGAGGGGCTTATTATTGGAATTTTACGATATTATAATTTACCAGAGAGCCCACTTCACCAGAGGGTGCTCTTCAGTGGAGCTCAGCCTGCATAATATACACTGTGCCTAGAAAAACTAAGTATAGAACACTAACTACAATGTGCAGTTCCAGAAAATATCCATACTCCCCCCACAGAAGGGATTGGAAATTCCTGGGGGTTGGGGGGTTCTCAAAGGTCCAAAAAATTTAAGTAAATGTATGAAGCTTGACTGGAATTTCCAGGAGAGGCGGGGGAGTCTAAGGAAAATCCCTTTCGTGGGGGAGGTATGGATAATTTTTGGAACCACACAATTAAGTAGAACATAAATGATGTAATGTTTCCATTTCGTTCTATTAATTTGGTTCATAATTGCAACATACATAAGAGTACCAACGTGCATGATTGTACATTATGGTAACATTGTTTGGATTTGTTTATGCTTGTCATTTAAAGCTATAAAATGATGTGACATTTTTCAGCTTAAAACATTATGAATCTGTTAACTTGTTCTTAACTAAAATAATCAAGGGGTCCTGTGCTCTACAAAAAGTTGTATGGAGTCTTTTGGAAACCTAATAATAATATTATAAAATGGTCCCCAGAAAAAAAAAGACAAGAAAAAGACACTGTGCAATATTACTTGAGGTCTTCAAAAGTGCTGATCAAAATTCTTATTTTAGGGCATTGTGTGCTACAAGAATCACATCTGATCCTGTGCTATAGTAATTGTATAATGTGCAACTTGATTCGCGTCTCACAAGAGGGTGATAAACTTACTTTTGAGCAGTACTGTTTGTGAAATGTTTATTTCATCACCCCTGAAAAGCCTCTTATGGGAGAGCACAGCTTAAATTTGTTGGCTTGTTGAGGACCTACAGTGTGCAAGGTGTAATAATTATGCATTTAAATTGTACTGTACATATGCCATAATCAAAGCTGTCTTTCAAGTGACTGACAGCTTCTGTTTTTTCTCTCTACAGATGCACTGTAAGTTTACTATTTACAATGTTCCCTGGGAAAAGAGAAAAGAGCTGTTGAACCATGAATGTGTGGGCTTAAAGGAGGAACGGATGCTCTCTTGTGAGCGAAGCGAGCCTGCTGTTAAGACCTCAGAACCTGCAGATGAGGATAATTTTGTGACTGAGTATGCTGAAGAGGTACAGTTATGACTGACATGTAACTGAGTCAGCCTATTCTAGCATGTGTTATATAAAGTTCAGTTTTATCCTCGCTGTAAATTAGATTTATTTTTCTTTATTCTGGGCTATGGTTATGTATAATAATAAATTATTTTATAATAAAAGGATACTGAATTTAAACTGGGACAAAATTTAACCACAACACCTGCATTTAGCTTTTGATATCATTGATTTGAGGTTTTTACCAATAAACTGAACTAGCGTGCATGTACTTGTTTGTAATGAATATGCAACTCTATACTCTAGGATTGCAGCCTACAGCACTGTATGTGTCGGACAGTTCATTTTTAGTGGTACTTCATAATAAATTATTGTTATGACTTTTGCATACTCAGGAAAAACCAGTTAAAGGTGTTGACCCTGAGGAAGAGACTTTTCGACAGTTTGTGATCCGTCACAAGAAGCCTTACTTAAATGACAAAAATGGTGAGTTTTTAAAAACCAGTTCTTGTGACGTTGTGTTCTTGTCTTGTGGGTAAAATGTTATTGGAGGTATAGAAGCTAAGTGTTCAACATCTTGAACTTTACTAAACTAGATCTGTTAGTCTGGGTTCAAGCACTGCAAGCAAACCTTGCTCCTCTTTGATATTCTGCTGCAGCATGCATGCAGTGCTTTTAGGTTCCTCCGACATACATGTGTACTTTTGAGGCAAGGTTTAACTCCAGTCATGTGAGCCCCGTAGCTTGTAGTGTGCACTTGTACAATGTGTAAGGCAGGGTTTTCGCGCTGAAGGGTAAACAGGGTAAATTTCACTCAACTTACATGATTAAATTTAACTGTTCATTATTTTTATTTCTATTTATTCTTTTAACAGAGTATATGAAGCGCTTGGCAATTTATAAAGAAAATATGGTCAAAGCTAAAAAGATACAGGATATGGATCAAGGATCAGCTAAATATGGAGAGACAGTTTTCAGTGACTTATCAGGTTGTTGTTTTTCATTTTACATACTAACAATAAGTTGTAAATAATATATAATTACATACTCAATTCTGATTAATAATTATTTTAATTTTGTATCTGAACATGAACAGTGGAACCCTGTTGATGAGACCACCAGTGGATCTATAATCCTGTTAGTATTAACAAGGTGTTCATTTTAATGGGGTCTTCAAAGCAATACTAGTAATTAGAACCAAAGGTAATGGAATGCGGTCGACAATGATTAAAAGTCAAAACGCCCTTGTTCCATGACACTATGCTTTGAGTAAGTTTGACGCCATAGATGGTCTATACACAGTTTGTATATACCAGTACACACTCAATGCGTGTGAACCCACAGGTTGCCAGCATGGTCTATAGTTGATTATGTCTCATTGTTGGTTGGAATTTTTATTGCTTTTAGGCTTGAAAGCAGTAATAATAAATAATAGTGATCAACAATGAGTAAATGCAAAGTTCATACATACACTGTACAATGTATCATTGCAAATGAATGCACCCTAATACTGTCCCTGGAATAAACAACTTGTTGTTCTTTTTCACAGAGGAGGAATTCAAGAAATATTACCGAATGCCTGGATGGGGAAAACCACTCTATGAAATGAAAGAAGATAAAATTCCAGAAGGAGCTATTCCAAATGCTTTTGACTGGCGTGATAAAGGTGCTCTGTCCTGTCTTAAATTATCTTGTTGAACTTTGCAATGTACTGTACAGTAGCTAGCTTGTGCATTTTCTATTTAGTTAAATTTTTTTTTAATTTACAAACAAAGAAATTGGAATTGGTTGAGGAAATCATTTATTCTTTTTTAACACATATTCTTGATTCAAAATATAATACTTAAGTGACTGAGCAGTGTAATATAATAATTATTAAGTCAGGATTATTTTGTTTATTTTCCAGGTGCTGTGACTGCTGTTAAGAACCAGGTGAGTAAATCAAATCTACATGTAGATGATTTACTTCAAACCAATTCACCATGTTTAGACATTGTAATAATAACACATTAACAAATCTTTGAACACCTAAACAAATCTTTGAACTTGATATTCCTGTTTATTAGGGTATGTGTGGTTCATGTTGGGCTTTTTCAACAACTGGAAATATAGAGGGACAGTGGAAAATCAAAAAAGGCAAATTGGTATCACTCAGTGAACAAGGTACATAATGTATTATAGTGTGCAAGTTATTAGTGAAAAATTTTCTTTTTTTACTCTATCTTGAAAAGCTAATTCTCTCTTTTATTGTGGAAATTTCTTAGATTTACTTCATAGTAAATACATGTATATTTTTTTTCAGGGTGCAAAGAAAATCATTTTTACAGCTTGCCATTCGGGCATTCAAATTCCTCAAAAAACATTACTTGCCCGTTGGGCAAATTAAAAACAGAATTCACTAGCCTGACAGCAAAATCCACTAGCCCCCGGCTATGGGACACTACTTTCTTTGCATGCTGTTTATATTCCTTCGTTTTTTCATACTTTAGGTTAACCGTCAGTCTTTACTTTTTTTCAGAGCTTGTTGACTGTGATAAAGTTGACCAGGGCTGTAATGGTGGACTTCCTTCCACTGCTTACAAGCAAATCGTGAAACTTGGTAATTCTATGAACTGTATGAATACGTACTGACTTTCAAATGGAAATTGACTTTCAGCAACTGCTGGGTATAGGTGCTCTACAAGGGTTTCTTACACTGGAGCTTATCCGGTTTCTTTAGCATGATGCACCTTGGAACTAAAACTTATTTTCTACTTCTATCTAGAAAGAATGCGTTATAACATTTGGCTTTTGTAGACTTAAAAATATCCTTATTTCGTGAAGACAAAAACTAATTAATAATTATCATTTCACAGATAGTGTTAACTGCTCTAATAAATGTAACCACTGTTCATTATAATTCAGGTGGTCTTGAGGCAGAAAGTGAGTACCCTTACGAGGGAGCTGATGAGAAATGCAAGTTTAAGAAGTCCGAAGCTGTGGTGTATATCAACTCATCAGTCGCAATATCCAAAGATGAAAACAGTAAGTAACATTTACAGTGAAATGATGTTTTGATTTCTTTCCATCCATGTATCCTCATATTTTCAGTTTTTACTATTAAGTTCTTTGAATGTAAATTATAAAATATGTATTATTGTAGAAGTGTCAACTCTTTGATCATGGTTCCTATTGAGCTGGTAAGCTTATTAGTTTGCCACACGTAAAATAATTCTAACATGGGCTTGAAAACCTAGTGACAAGGAACCCACTGCGGGGCATTTAAATAACAGCGTGAAGGGAGCCCAGCATAATTATGATTTGTATGAAAGAACTAAGATTTTCTAGTTGCCCTAGAGCAAAAGTTGGGTGCTGGGGACCACTGAGCCCTGCAAGTAAATCAATCATGAACTGTATACAGTGCAGCCATAATGGAAGGGTTTGACCATGTGCAATAAAATTGAACACAACAATTAATAAATAATGATGTAAAATTTTATTGCACCTGGTCAGTCAAATAGGCCTTTTGTAATCAAGTTGGTCATGTAATCAAAATAATTCAGTTTTGGAAAATTTTGTTCGTAGAAATTGAAAGAGCATAAATTAAGATTAAGCAACCTGGGACGGGTTGTTCAAAGCTGGGTTAAGATAACCCGGGGTTAGTGCGAAGTTTAAATTCAGATTTGAAAGCTTAAAAAGTAAATTCAGTTTAATTCTTTCTCTCAGCAAGTTGATGATTGGATGCTCTTAAAAATAACGGAGAAAATTATCCGAGAAAATGCTTTTGAATAAAAGAAAAAGAAACCCGGGTTAAATTTAACCCTGGGTTAAGCGCTAATCGGCCTTTGAACAACTGGGCCCTGTAAATTTTCAGCTGTATATCGAAAAAGTAGCGATTGCAATGGCTGCTGAAAGTTGGAAGGATTTGTATGAGGAACACAACTCTTGCCACCCAGTCATGCTTGACTGGTTTTCCGTACAAATCCTTGTAAATTCTGAAATTTTTTCTTTAAATC